GGGGGGGGGGGGGGGGGAAATCAGGCCCCTCACCATATTTTTTTTCTGGTGGAGCCTGCCTCCAGTGGCGGGGGTGAGCTGACAGGGGTCATCATTGTTCCATCACAGCAATGGAAGTCCCTAAGTTGAAAATGTGAGTTTTTAACCAAACAGAAGTAAACAAGCAAACAAAAACCAAAAATAACCCACCATTTAAATTTAGGGAGAACTGAAACCCAGTCAGTCACGGTCACATGTACAAACAGCCACTCTGATTTCATATTAAATCAGATCTCAATTTTGCATAATAATACATTTAAGCCTCTCCTGAACTCCTTCCTGTTCAAATCCTTGCCTCTTCCTTTCTCCCCCAAAAAAGCCCACTACTTCCTCCCAAAATACTCCTGCCTCTTTGCTCCTTCTCACAAACATCACTCCACTCCATACGTCTAGATCCCTTATAACTGCTCTTACAACTACATAAAAAATGTATTGTTAGTTGTCCCAACCAGTTGAAAAGACAGGCCCAATTTGTCAGTAACTTCTCTCCTTCCCAGGGATTTCAGGCCTCTGTGAGGCTCAGGATCAGTTTGGCTTCTGCTGCTCCTTTAATTACGTCACATTTTATAAATACCTATAATGCAGATGTTTTTTCTGAGGTCACTAAGGTTCTGACTAAAACATACAGCAAACGGCTTTGCAGCCGCAACAGGAAAAAGAAGGTAAAGGGAGAGTTTGCTGCATAACCCAGTATTTTAACTCTCTCACACAGATCTGGCTGAAATAATCTATTCGATTTTTGTTAAAAATACATTTCACATAACTAAAATAGTTAAGAATTCCAAAATACATATACTTGTTTTGTAAAAATAATTATACATGTTTATTGAAGAAAGATATCCAAAATACATAAGCTCATTTTAGTTTTTAAAAAATTAAATGTCATAATTCAGGTTTCTGATGCAGCTGCAACATTAATCTGGAAAAATATCAAAATAAATCACTGCTTTAAAATGTATAATGTGTTCCTTGTAAAAATGAAACCTCTCTCTCCAAGTTGTAAATCATATGTATTACGTTTATATTAAACAACAAGAATGCACTTTTTGTAGAAAACAATTATTAAATTGAAGTTTCTTGGCCAGCGATTGACTTAAAATCAAATTCACCCTGCTTTGCAGGATTTTCTATCATACATGTACATGCCTATAGCTCAAAACACTTTGCTAGATATCTGCCTGTTTGTGTCTATGTGCACATGTATCAAGAGGCCAGTCAGCCCATGGCATCCTTTGCTACACTGTAACAGCTTAACACCATGGTAGCTCAATAATTTCCATTACCATCCACAAGAACTATATTAGCATACTGTAATGAAACTACATTTCTGGCACATTTAAGGATTTTTTGCAGGGTGGGGGGAGGTCAGAATAAACACCAGGCAGTTTCACAAAGCCAACGTTCCCAGTATCTATCACGAGGCTGGCGGGCATCCCCAACGTCTCTCACTAACAGGCTTCAAGAATATCTATCACGAGTTTCCTTGTTGATTTATGAACAGGCAGATATCCATCCAAGAACTGTCAACTATAGGGAGGTGACTACATCCTGCTCTCTATATCAGCATTTGCTGGCTCTCTTCATTTAAGGGTAAAAAAAACTACACTGAGCAAAGCACTGTAAAAATATACCTGTGGGATTCTATTCAGTTTCTACACTAAAAGATTGCATTGACACAGACATTATTATAGAGCACTATTTTAGTGCAAGACCGCAAGAACAGTGTAGATGAAAAGTTTGAGTTGTGTGTGTTTTTAAAAAAAACAAAAACAAAAAAACAAAAAAAAAACAACAAACAAAAAAAAGTGTTCTTTTGAGTTATTGGACTACCCAGGAATGACAGATTGTTTCATACACAACTACCTAGAAAGTAATGGAATTTTACCAAATTTTCCAAGTCTCAATCACACAAAAGTCCCTTTTTTGGGAAACAAGTAAATGAGAACATTTAGGTCAGGAAGGCTTTCCTCAGAAACTTGTTTATCCCCCCAAAACAGAAGCTTTTTTGTTATGAATCTCTCTCTGCCTTAACTATAGTGGGTCTTCTGCTTGCATCAATCAGCAGTTCATTCCCATTTGCTTGGCCGCATACATTTTCCAAGCTGTAAGTGTGTTTTCAGATGGGAATCCCAAAAAAATATCAGAGAGC